GTGTGAGAAAATATATAAAATAGGAAGGAACTGGTTAGGTAAATAATCCAAGGTCCCTTAGTATTTTAGTTATTATTTTTAAAAAATAGTGCTCGATACAAAAGTAGAGCATGAGACTTCTTATGTAGCGTTTTGGAATCATATTTTTAAATAAATAAATATTATATATATATATATATATATATATATATATATATATATATATATATATATCGGCCTAACCTAAATATCGATATATAAGAATCTATATATATATATATATATATATATATATATATATATATATAGAGAGAGAGAGAGAGAGAGAGAGAGAGAGAGAGACTGGTAAGGGTGCATGTCTGTCTGTGTGTGTGTGTGTGTGTCTGTGTCTGTGTATTTGTTATACTTTGCTATATTTAAAGTGGAAGAATGCTCAGTATCGGAGAGCGTTTATAGATATAGACAATTTAATATAACTATAGACTTAATCAGAAGATCGTCTTGAGGCGTGAAACTGATAGTTGGCATACACTATTCATTCCTATGGCCACACGGATATATATTTCTATGCGCACGCACGCATACACACGCGCGCACACACACACACACACACACACACACATATATATATATATATATATATATATATATACATATTTGTCACTTAGTTGTTTGATGTTATATTAAGCACCTCGATTTCAGAGTTTCGTAGACGAACCTTTTTGTAATCGTTCGGACTATTCGTCAGGAGGTTTCAGCAATTGACATATATATATATATATATATATATATATATATATATATATATATATATATAATTTATGTATTCTTTTTATGACGTATATAAGAGTGTCCTCTTTTAAATACTTTTAAAAGAGTTTTGCATTCAATTAAGAAAAATAGCTTTTGGGAACTCTAATAACAAACATTCACCCATTTTGAAAATTTGCTAAGTGTGAAACGGCGCTGTTAATGAGTAAAAAAATACTATTTTACACACACAGCCACAGACACGCATTCGTATATATAAATACATTCAGTATGACATTAATCGTGTGCGCGCACAAACACACAACGTATATTTTAGCAGCAAGAACTAATTCAAATGTATTTTATTAAATTCGGACGCCAAGGTCTGTCTATTCAATTTTTCTCTTACAGTTTTAATTATATTTTACTAGTAACTGTACAGCGATATCAAATTTACTAAGAAACTCTCAAAGTTGAAAATGTTTTGTTTGAGTAATTTGGAACATCGCTAGTCGTTATCAAGAACGTTAATTTTTTTTAAATTAATTTCATGCGAACATTCTTTAGAAACGTAATTTTAATTTAAATACAAGCGTCTCGAATGCAAGTGACGTCATGTAGAATGCTTTGCGTCCATTTATATGGGATGTGGTGGAAAGTTGTCGGCTTTATCCACAAATTAAATTATGAACAAATAGTGATTTTCTAAGCGTAGCTTAGATGTGGCACAAGGCCGAATGTATTGGGCACCCAGTGAGAATCGAACTCACTATTCAATCGCAATTGATAGAGCAAGACAAACTGGCTAACAATTACACCACGTCGCGGTGCCCCTAAAGTATGAACAAATAGTCAAGCATTAGATTTGGAGGGAGGATAGTGATTTTCTAAGCGAGGCTTAGATGTAGCACAAGGCCGAAAGCAGGGGGCACCCAGTGAGGATCGAACTCACTACTCAGTCGTAAATGTTCTAGCGAGACAAGCTTGCTAACCACTACACCGCTTCGAGGTTCCCCAAATATTGGTGGGGATATCTTCTTGGTTGAAATCACATCTTTGACCTTCAGCTCCTCCCACGCACACACACACACACACACACACACACACACACGCAAACGCGTATATAGATTTGCGAGTTTCTATATATCAGGTTGGAATGAAAGTTCTGTCAAATTTTATTGAGTACATTACAAATGGAGATACTCATGCTTAGAAAAATATTTACTCCTCAATATAAATTCCATTGCTTCCTCGAACCCCATTTTATCTGTCAAATTTATAGATGCCACGTTTGTAAAATTCTTTAGGTTTTTATGCAAAATACGAAACCAACCCATGTTGAACGTTTTCTCTTGATAATTCTATTCCATTCGATTTTGTTATACTTCACTAACGCGTATATATTTTGAGAATGATATGAATACATCTCTCCTCTCCTAATTCTTCTTCTTTATATGTCATATCCCATCAGGTGTTCATGGCTCTCCACAACCTCCTGTCCCTTGTAGCTCTTAATAAACTTTGCGTTTCTGTTATTTCTCCTACTTAGACAATCCAAATGGTTCTGCAACCCCCTAAACAAGTGATAAACAGAAGGAGAAAGGTGAAGAGAATATCGAGGTGGGGGTGAAACAAATTTTCACTAACCAAGCACCTCTAAGAGATCTATAATCAATCACTCAGTGTGAGGACGGGCTGATGGAGGAATCCTCCCTTTCTGTTGACTAAGGATGAACATTTTCTGTCCAAAGCTTTCAATTGTTATCAGTAGAGATCAGTTAACAGTTCATAATGGATGATTCCTTGAATATTCCACCATCCACTCAACATGATTTTCTTTGGATGAAGTTTTCTACTCAGTTTCGCCTCAGGTCTGTTTCACTGACTAATCCACTGACGACGGCGATTAAGATTATGGGAAAGAATTAATTTCTTATCAACAGCAACAAGCCTACACGAAAAGGGTATTTGAAGTTGTCTTGTAAGCAATGACTCGTTGCAATGGACACGTTGTTCAGAATTCACTTGACAAAGAACATACGAGACCCATTTTCCAAACACTGAAACCTTTCAAATCCTCTTCAGTTCGCATAGGTATGACTAACATTAAATTTCCCGTTTAGTTCCCTAGCCGTAGTGGCAAGATCCAGTACTTTGGGCCGACATTCCCTTAGCTCGTCTTCTAGATTAAAAATCCTAGTTTTGAAACAGGACCCACTCCCTGCAACTTTATCCTCTCAATGCGATCGAAGACTTTGAAAAGTTATAAGAATATCTACTATCCACTCTCCCCGTATAGTGAAAGTTTATTTTACTGATATTTCTAATATATATATATATATATATATATATATATATATATATATATATATATATATATATATATATATATATATATAGGGGGGTAAGGTGCACCATCATCAACCATTAATTCACAAAGCAAACCGTTACAGTTGAGTTACGTTCAAATATGTCAGCCGATTCGTATGTAAACATACACACATATCATAATCAGAGATGTTTCGATTTGAATTCACACTGCAACTCTTCATCATGGTCGCACATTTCGAAGCTCAATTTTTTCAACTAAAAACAACAAAAAAAAAAAGAAATGGATTTTGCTGCTTGCACGTTTATGAAATTCAACATTTCAAATGGCACTATTTACATTATTCGGACAATTGTCCCCATCTTTGTTGCCATATTTATCACAACGTTTCGGCCGTTGTACGCCTTTTTCAGGTGATTGGAATATCGAGCTGAACCCTTTATTTCTTCACTGGGGTAGACTGTTCTAGTTCCATGTGCCATGTCTACGGATGTCAGTTATCAGTTCATTCCAGTTCTTCCCTCTCCAAGTTCTCCGCTGCCTTAACGGCATTGAACTCACAACTCTTTGGGTCCTTTCACTGGATCTAACTAACGCCTTTAACCACTGTGCCATGTGTCCTTGAGGCGTTGGTTAGATCCAGTGACAGTGTGAGTTCAATACCTAGTTAAGGCAGTGGAGAACTTGGAGAGGTGAATTAACAGAAGATAACTGATAACTGACATTCATTAGACTTGGCACGTGGAACTAGAACAGTCTACCCCAGTGAGCGAAATAAAAGGTTCAGTTTGACATTCCAACCACCTGAAGAAGGCCAGAGTGTACAACGGCCGAAACGTTATGATAAATATGGTAACAAAGATGAGGACAATAGTCCGAATAATGTAAATAGTGTACATAATACCTCATCTCAGAAATATAGACATATTTCTAATGTGTTCTTTAGTTGGGACGAACATATGGACAAGTTAATCTGAAAGAAAAAAGATATCAATTACTCAAATTAAGTTACTCATAGTAGCATTACTAAGCAACATAAAGAGGCAATATTTAAATAAATTTTATTCGACATTTACACCTTAAAATTCAGACAGAACTTTCGTTCCAAACTATGTGTTGGGTGCGCAGGTGGTACACTGCTCCGAGGAACGAGAATTTGGCGAGACGTTCGAATTCAGTCGAGATCGTTACATTCATTTTCCAACTTGGGAAACATAAATCCATATCTTTTGCTCCCAGCTATGGATTAAATAGAAGGGCTGTCTTGAATTTCACTAAAAAAAATCATTATTACAATCCAAAATACGAGTCGACTCTACATAACCTAAAAAGGGATGATAAACCGTAAAAAAATCAATCTCCGCCAGCAGACATGTCTTTGGTACATTGACACTGCACACTCTTCCTGGTCACTATTTTCTCTCACTTGACCATTTACCGTAATGCGCTCTTAACATTTTTAGGCAGATATAGCGATTTACTGAGCGTAGCTTAGACGTGGCACAAGGACGAAATTATGCAGCACTCATAGAGAATTGAACTTACTACTTAGTTGCATTTGATCTAACAAGACAAGCATGGTAACCATTATACGACATCGAAGAGCCCATTTACGTAGATATATGTGCACATCTAATGAATCACGCAAATGAATGAACATACAATTAAATATCAGGACATGTGTAAAGAGTTACTTGATTGATAGCATTAATACAGTGAAGAGAAACACCCACTTAAGAAAACCGCTTCGACACACAGACATCGGTTAAGAATCCCCCCCCCCATACCGGGTAAAGAATACGTCGATTGCAGGTAATCAGTCACGTGTCTTTTGGCAGACACGTGACCTATATATCATAACCGCTTCTGGTGTAGCTGTGTCATTGAAAATAAATAAATAAATAAATAAATAAATAAAATAGATACATATCGACATTTAAAGTTAAATAAATCTTATCGTGTTACATTTTATCGGTAAAAATGTTTTAAAAAATGTGAAAAAAAAATATAAAATATAAAAAGGGGGAGAAAGAGATAAGGGAAACTTGAAAAGACACTCGGTTAAAAAGGAAAGAAGAAAGAAGAAAAATATAGCTATAGATAAAGACGGATAAAGAAAAACGATAAGAAGAGGGAAAGAAGAAGAAGAAGAAGAAGAAGAAGAAGAAGAAGAAGAAGAAGAAGAAGACAGCCGAGTTTTAAGTGAAAATAAAATTAAAAACAAAAACAAAAAAGAAACGAAAAACTGAAAAATAAAGAGAAGAAGGAAGAGAAGAAGTAGAAGAAGAAAATGAAAAAAGAAAGCCGAGTTTTAAGTAAAAAAAAAAAAACAAAAAAAAAAGAAACGAAAAAGTGAAAAATAAAAAGTTTCAAGAGAGGTGAAAGAGAAAAACAAAAGCAGAGTAAAAAAAAAAGCCGAGGAACACAAAGAAAAGGTAGAGAATGCTTCATGTTTAATATTTCTTTCTTTTTTTCCTTCTTTCTTTTACTCTTCTTTTTATCTTCGTCTTCCTCTATAGAGAAGGAGAGAAAGAGAAAGATAGGAAGAAACAATAAAGAACTGAACTGATAAATCGCATAGGCACAGAAACACACACACACACACACACACACACACACACACACACACACAAATGAGAAAATTGCAATAAATAGATAACATTTACAAAGGAAGGGCATACTTCTTTTATGAAGCCTATCTTAGCCTGGCTCAAGGTCAAATGATACAGACACTACTGATGATCAATTTCACTACTGCTACTACTGAATTCGTCTCAAAATTGAAGTTGCTGCCATATTAATAAGCTAAATGCCCTTATTGATTTGCTAAACATAGCCTAACACAAGGCCACAAGTGTAGAGCAAAGATAAACCGCTGAGCTAGTGCGTATACTAACCATTGAGTTACGGTAATCATCTGAAAAGAGGCGGGAATAAAATATTATTAAAAAGAAAGAAAGAAAGAAAGAAAGAAAGAAAGAAAGAAAGAAAGAAAGAAAGAAAAAAAGAAAAAGAAAAACAAACAATGGGCTGGGCAAAAAAGAAATACAGTCTGATTCATGAAGAAAGAAAGCCGAGATTACGCAAGAAAATCTAAAAAGAAAAATAAAAGAATGGACAATGAACAAACGACAAACCGACAACCACCCAACAAAAAACAAAAGAAAGAGCGGGAAACACACACACGCACACAACAAATGAAAATGAACTATAAAATATAAGTAAATAAATATACACCTGAAAAAAATAAAAGTTACTGCACTCACGGCTTTTCATAAAATGCATTGCAAATAATCGATTGGTTTTTCTGCTAATGGATCGATTCCATCTAGTGAACGAATTCAGCGACAGACATTCATAGAGTGCGTGCTTGCAATGTCGATCGGTCGCTCGGTCGGATTGGACCGGGTAGGGTTCGATTCTGTTTGACACTGCGCCAACCTCATACCTCAAATGGGGAGATGGGTAGAAGGAGTGGGCCACTAACCTCTAACCCATGCCTAATGGAGACTGAGTGTTTGTCCATCAAGGCCACACACTCCCCAACAACAACCACTGTCTACTACCACCAGCAAGTGGTCGGAATGGTATGTTCACCCGTTGGTAGACGGTCAAGAAAATCGGACAGCGTGCGGCGGGTGAGGTACTGGAGTGAGAAGGGAGATAACTGATTGGTAAAGGGAGGGAGGTTACGACGAAGAAGTGGCTTCTGGCAGTCAGGCAATGGCTGTCGACCGATTGCCAAAGGGTTAGTGGGAATTTTAACATCCAGTCCACTAAATTCAGAAAAGTAGCAGCATTATCATCATCATCATTTGCTCTTTGTGTTTTCACGAACTTGCAATAACTGGTTGCTTGGTTTGGGTTTTGCTTTGGTTTGATTTACGGTATATCAACCTCAATGGTTTCATTTAATGCCGACAAAATTTTTATTGCTGGTACTTTTTTTTCTTTTTCAAAAATATATTGTTGGTAATATTTTTTCCCCAAAATATATTGCTACTAATATTTTTTCTTCATAAATTCATTGCTGGTAATATTTTCTTTACAAAAAAAATGTATTAAAACTTATTTTTACACTTTCATAGTGTTTTTACCCTAGTTTAGGGGGATAACTATAGCTGGGACCCTAACAGGTGCTACCACCCCGGGTCAGGCTATACCTGAGAATACCAGCAATTAAGAAGTAGTTTCCACGCTCCTCAAACCTCCTGATCAGAGGCCTTGCTGTTTGACATAGTTTATCGTCTTACCCAGGACGCGGATGTAGTTTATCGTCTTACCCAGGACGCGGATGTAGTTTATTGTCATACCCAGGATGGGTAACTGGTTGTTTTAACTAGCGATAAAGTGATGGCAAGATTCACTTTAATTTCATTTTAGTAATATTTCAATAGTTTCATATCGTGCCATTTAGATACTCCAGCACTATTCACAACATTACTACATTAGCAATCATCTGTAAATTTTGAATCAGGTATACCAGATACACCAATATATTCCTCAGTATTCTTGTTGATTTTATTAATGTTATCATTTGACTGTCTTCTCAAGTTCCCCTGTTTACCCAGCACCTCCTTCAGTATTAATACTTATTCTATTAATGCCGTCGTGTGAATACTTTCGCTTCAAGTATAACACTTATAGTCAGTAATGTTTTACTAGTAATTCTTTCATCTTAATTTCAGTTGATTTTTATAGCAACTATCATATTGGTATGTGTAACCGAAAGAGATAACTACTGTCATGTTATTCAAATTTCTCACCTGAAGCATTGTCTATAATTATTATTTTTTTTTTTACTGTGAATAGTTCAATTTCGGTTGGTTCTTTTTATTGCAGCTTCCCGCGTCTTCATTCCATGATCGAGAGTATGTAGTTTCAATTAGAAATAAGAAATAAACAAGACATCACTTATACCTGGAGCCTGTGTTAACCCCATAATTTTGATGACTCAAACCTGCCCAGCCAAGCTGTAAAAGATTTGCTTGATTATCATAAAAAAAAAAATACGATTTAATGTTATCCCCGTGTCATTTTATATATTTTCTCTTTCCAACTTATTTCAGATGAAAGCTTTTTGTCAATTGCTGCCTTTGGTTTGTTACTTGTAATCAGAATTTTTAACAATTATTCTTTTGTTTATCTGGAAAGAGCTTATAGTAGACAATTCCTTTCCATTCCACCATGTACACAGCGCCACCATCTTTGAATGGTTTTTGCACCTCTTTACCGATGTCCAGAGTAGGAAATCCAAGTAGTTAATTGTCCTGGGTATGACGATAAACTACAAGGCCTCTAAGATTGGAGGTTTTGAGGTTTCATTTTACACTTCACGATAGATAACACTCTTTATATCTCACCAAAAACAGAGCATAACTTTTTCGGTTTTAGTCCTAGTTTAGAGGATAGTTACTCCTTTCTAACTCTTTCCAAATCCTTTGCATTGTCCTTAGATTGACACCCAGACACACTGAAATGTTCATATTTGTTGTGGTACGATCCACCTAATTTACATAGTGGAGTACCGACCATATAAATATGGTTGGTACCGGGAAGACGATGGAAGAAGTAAGAAGAGATGCAATCCAGAGACTCTGCCTGACTGCGACTAACGTCAACCCATTCTACAGGAACGGTCTTCCCAAGAATATACCAAACTATCTGTAAATATTGTGTACACGTTCTTGTTTCAATATATTTTGTTTAAGTACATTTTGTGTCGTATTATTATTATTCCATGCTTTATTCAAGTTTCAACAGTATTAGAGCTTCCGGCGCGAATATCAAGCAGTATAGCATGCCGTTTCCAAAGTTCTGGCAGAGTGAATTGCATCATGGTGCTCTTTTTCTCACAGATTTTGTGCAGTCGACAAAATAAAAAACAAACAAACCGCCTGTGCAAAATTAAAAATATAAAATGGCGACAATTTACACATCGTACTCCGTATTTCCATTCGCCTCAGTTGATTTCACCGCTAATCAATGTCGTTTTGGTTTAATTATGAGTACGAAGCCGAGTGGTTAGAATGTTCGTTTACTGACCATGGGACCCGGGTTCGAATTTCATCATGGAACACGATTTGTAAGAAAGTTGACCTCTTCATGTTATCGGACTGGAAGAGGCGATCTCAGTGTGCGGCATCTTTAGAAAGTGCCTGAAAACCATAGTACAGGTTGTACGTGAAATTGGGTACACTGTCGATGGTTGTGATAGCACAAAATCATAAGTCGTCGTGACCGATGGTTTTAAATGACGCACTCTCCCCCAGAAACTGTAACTAAGGTCCGCTCAGCATATTTGAAGTATAAATCACAAGTGGGCTCTGTAGGTGTTGAACAAACACATATGGAGGCGTTTGCAGCAGGAATTAGCTAGCCACCATCACAGATAATAATTGTAAACAGGGAAGTTTTAGTATCAAGTCTACTCATCAATAACAAGCAGATGGAAACACGGCTAAGAAGCAGTATGAGGGAATCATCAATCAAGTTTAAACACTTTTTTCGAACTCGGGATGATTTTTTATGATTGAAGTCTAACTTGTATTTAACTCATTAGTTAATTCTCGTGCAGTCTGCTTAGAATTTTCTTCAACTACAGTTTACAAAAACTCAATACTGCCATCTTGGTCGTCCAGATCGAAGGAAATCTTCGAGAAAAGAATTCCCCTATCGAAACTTGCCAAACCGTTGTTGACATATATGGACATTCAAAGATTCATTTCCATAAGTAAAAGGAATATTTCTTGCCGATTCTTTACGAAAGAAACCTTGTTGTCTAATATGGGTGTGGTCGAAATCTAGACAATCTCTACCCTGTTATCTGTTCAGTCATCTTTATCTCTGTTCCAAATATACATCAACAATATTTGAATATATCAAAGAATATGGATGGACACGTGGCCGAGTGGTTCGAACGTTCACATTCTGACAATGTGTCCCGGGTTCGAATCTCACCAAAGTCGATTTGTCGGGAAGAAGACTCCCAGCGTACGGCACCATTGGAAAGTGCCTGAAAACCATATTATAGGTTGACCCAAGCCTTGTTAGTAAAAACCATACCACGAGTTGAGCCAAGCCTTCTGAATGAAATTGGGTAGACGGAACCCTTGGATACACTAAGGGGTTATCCATGGGATATTGCTGGTCTTGTTCGAACTGATCACGCTAGATAACACGCTTTTTCCCAGAAACTGTAAGTAAGGTCTGCTCAGCAGTGTTGCAGTATAGTCTGTGGGCGTTGAATAATCACAAATGCGCATGAGCAAGCGTCTGCAATAGGGATTAGCTAGCCGCGTGGCCAGCTATACAATCAAAGGAACTAGCCGCACCGTAAAGTTAAGGTCTAAAAAACGTCGAAAAGCTATATTTAGAGGCGAGGCAATGAAATCAGGAGTGGCCGATTATGTATGAAAGGAGAACGATAGTTATCAACAATTATGACATTAAGTAAATATACTGGACAGAAAGGAATACTGAAAAAATCAGTGCATATGCTCGACTATGGGGACCTCCTTAGTGTTCCTAATATAGAAATAAATACGATATGTGAGCCATTAATAAATAAAGTGATGTGATAGCAAGTCTTAAAGAACAACAGCAGTAAAATGTGCAGTCATGTATGGCGATTAGCAACAGAAGCACTTATAAGCAGGCAAGTTAGGTTTAAAGTTTCAAGTTCTTCAATTAAAATTATTCCATGAACAATAGCCAAGTGAATCGTTTGTCCGTGTATTTGATGACATAGTCTTATGATGTCAACAAACACTCGTTGCCACTTTTGTGATGGAAACGAATACTCGTTGTCACTTTCGTAATGCTCATTGTAGTAGAGACTTTGTAATCGTAGATACAACTATAGTAACGCCATTGAACAATACTAGTGTCAGACGCCTTTGAATATCACTCACACTAATAGTACTTGCTCGATAATACTCGCTCGAATAGGAACCACCGAATAGTATAGTGCTCAGTATAGAGAATAGCTAACCGTATAGTAAGAGAGGATAGAGTAAAGATAGTGATCAATTAGACATCACGCTAATTCCCATATATATATATATATATATATATATATATATATATCCAAGTATATGATTGTGCATACGGAATGAATTCCAATAACCAACAATTACTATTCTTAAAAGAGTGCCTAAACAGTAGATAATATATTTATTTATTTAAAAATTTATGATAATAAAGAGAAATCACTACAAAAATAGCTATTTTGTTTCAACACCCCGGTGTCTTATCAGTGATGATGTTGAATGTAAAATAAAATGGTTTTACCATTTATTTTACATTCAACAATATGGCTATTTTTGTAGTGATTTTATAACATATTTATGTTATATTTTTTTTAAATAAATAATTATATATATATATATATATATATATATATATATATATATATATATCCTTTACTATCACGTGATTCACTTATTCAAAAATGGAATCACCTGTGATTGCTCACTGATGATCTGTGTTCGAACTCCAGTGTCGGCAGCGACACTTTACTCCTATATAACACATAGTAATTGCGAGTTCAGTCCCTGGTCTTAGCAGTGTGTACTTGGACTCGGTGTAAACGGGGCGAGTAATGAGGACTAGACGAGATATCCCTAGACATAGGCAGGTAAACCAGGAGAAGCTGCCCGCGTGATAATAATGATAACTCGTGCCAGAAATTCAGAGAAAGAAAATATCTGTCTTTTCGGTTCTATTTTCTCAGACGGTGGCCAATGTCTGGTTGATTGGTTGTTTTTGTTCTATTAGTGCTGTTCATTATATTATAAAGAAGGCGATAATGCCACTAAGCCGCAAGGGGGTTACCGGGAGTAAATAGAATGAAAAGGAGAGGAAAAGTAAGCAGAATGGACAATGAAAGAACAGGTTTCAGGAAGACAGAAGATGGCGGTTGGCGCTGCATTTAATTTTTTGAAGATTTTAGGTGGCAGGGGAGATAGAATTCGAGTGATATTTCCGTGGGCGAGAAAAGAATAAAACATACAGTTGCATCTAGGTAGTTTGGTTAAATTCATGCAGTCGGAGCACCTTGCAGGAAAGCACATCAGAACAATTGTCATTAAAATATTTTTTATGAAACACATCAAACCTTTGCAAATTATTTAAGGCCAGAAAATGTTTTTAGATTGTAAAACGTTTTTTGGGAGATAATGATTTCCTGATACAAGTCCTACTAATTAATCTATAGCTTGGGGAGAAGAGGTGGATTCATACCTTTCCCGAAGGTATTTGCAAGTAAGTGAATACAACACACCTAACGGGAATTGGAACTCGGCTCTCCGATTAACAATTCCGAGCCGTTATCTATTTCTCCACCCGCACATCCAAGCTTACAGCAGCTGGTTTACCTAAGCAGTTACCTATCTAGGTACTGACCAGGCTCGACATTGCTTAACTTCGCTGATCGTACGGGAACGGCTGTTTTAAAGTAATGTGGCCGTAAGCCTTTGCCCTATGTGCATAACTTGGAATTCGACATTCTCATTCACATACACTACTGTACGACCACAACTTTTATATATATATATATATATATATATATATATCTCGGTCTATTTAGATCTTTTCGCCCCACTCGCTTTTTGCATCTATCGATCTCAGTCGATTCACGTCTTTGCGCCTAGCTAAACCCTCTTCCTATTTCTTTAACTTGGTTGCTTCACGTCTGTCTGCTTTTCTTACTCTCTTCCTATCAGCCTGTCTCACTTTATTCCCGTCTCCGCGCCAGCTTATCGCACTCACTTCCTAAACTAACTCGCTTGTTTCCCGACTTCTCTGTCGACCTGCATCAGTCTATTCCTGTCCGTCTCAGTCGGCTCACACCTGTCTGCTTGTCTCAGCTTGATCTATCTATGTCTGTTTCCATTTATTTTCCCCACTCTGATTCTGTTTGTTAAGTTCCAGACAGCCTGGCTCTTCTTTGATCCATTAAATTACTTTCCGTATATTTGCCTAAGATGCCCTTCTAAAGCGAGCCACCAGCCCTAACCTGGCGATAGTGTAATTCGCTGTGAATGCGCGTGTTTAGCTTTCGTCCTCACCAGCACATTTCCACTGCCACTATAGACAATAGCATTAATGATAATGACAGTGAATATAGGTCAGACATATTAATTGACAAACTGTAAGAGAAATGCGATTACCGCATCAAACAACAATAATCAATTCTCGTTGTCAGTGCGCCAATAAATAAATCCTGATTTCACATCAGTCTCCAACTGCGTTCATCTTTTTTTTTTCTTTATTGTATTTTCTCATTTCTTTGACTTCTTCTTCGTGCAGACGTGTACTTCATTGCTTTTTTTTTTTTAAACCCATTGCTGCAATTTAGAACCCTGATTCCATTGATTACTCAAAGTGATATCTGCCGTTAAACCAAATAAACAAGCAGGCCGTTTGTTTAGATCAATGGTACACAAACGGCGCGGCACCTCATAGGTGCAGCGGAAGAGGATAGCAGGTGAGGCGGAAGAGGATAGCAGGTGAGGCGGAATGATTGAAAGACAATCAAAGATTTAGAAACAATTTCAAAAAAACATATGCCGAAAATAATAGTAATTTTCCAAACGTAGGTTAGACGTGGCACAAGGTCGACAGTATGGGACATCCAGTGAGGATTGAACTCACTACTCAGTCGTAATTGTTCTAGCGAGACAAGCTTGCTAACCATTACACCACACTAAAGTGCCCATATAGTTATCTTCTAAGCGTAGCTTAGATGTGGCACAAGGCCGAAAATATGGGGCACCCAGTGAGGACCGAACTCACTACTCAGTCGTAAATGTTCTAGCCAGACAAGCTTGCTAACCATTACACCACCCCGAGGTGCCCTATGCCGAAAATAAATATGATTCTAAAATTTAAATTATTTTTTGTAGGTTACATGTAATTGCATGAGTCCCAGTATAAATACTTATAAATAGCTATTGACTGATATTATAATTCTGATATTTTTGCATTTTACCAAATATTAGGAGAGTTATCAATTATAATGTTCTGACTTCAAATCCGCGATTATCTCCCTCTAACACTCTCGCAGATTTTTTTTTTTTTTAATTATTTTTAAATGCACATTTTATCACATTAAATCTGGTGATAAATTTTAATTCCGAAAATGCGGTCGGGGAGGGGGGCGAAGGTTAGAGAACCACTGATTTAGATGATTAAACTTTACTTTGAGATTTTCCTTATGCTCTCTCTCTCTCTCTTTTCCCTTTCTTTCTTCTCTCTCTCTCTCTCTCCCCATCTCCCTATCTCTTTCTCGCTCGTTCCGTCTTTACCTGGTGTTTGAAATCAGACCTTATATTGTTGAGTCGTATTTCTCAGGACGAAGGAATCAATATGCGCCTTGGCGACTTAGGAATCATATTTTGGTCAAAGGAGGCCAATTCTCTTTACTCATCTTCTGGCTAACCAGTAGGAACTCTCTCTGATTTAGCAAAACTTTCTTCTTTATCTCTGGGCTTACGGCTATATCACGTCGAAACACAGCTTCCCTTATGAGTGCCGAAGTTAAGTAACGTCGAGTCTGGTCATTACCTAAATGAGTGAGCACCTGAGAATACCAGGTGCTTGGATGTAAGGGTGGTGTAATGGATAATGACTTGTAATTGTTAATCTGTGAGCCGAGTTCTAATTCTAGTTGGATTCGCTATTTTTTTTACTTGCGCACAAATAACATTACTCCCTACCCCTGTAACGGCATTCACCCGAGGTGGGTTGAGCCGGCTCCAATATTGGGGTTTCATGGGAATTTGGAATTCACAAGCGGTCCCCAACCGCATGTATAGCATATGAGATTTGATTATAGTGGTGAAGGTTTCGTGCAGGACCATCCACACTTTTTGAATGGCCGATTACAGAGACCTGGTGACACAAGGTCCCCAAACGACCCTCCGCAGGTTTTGAATTCAGAGGTTTTCCTTCTCCTAGACCAGTTGCCATCCAAGGCACAAATACCATTGAGTAAGTTATGAACACGCCTTTTCTCTCTCAGCTATGAGCCAATTAGTAGGACTTGTATGAGTAAATGATTATTATCTAAAAAAATCCTACAATCTAGAAATATTTCCTAACTTTAAATAACCTTCGAACTGTAGAAAATGAATCAATCAATATCTCTGCCCTCATCACGATCATCCGATCATCCGCCTTTTTGAATGAATATATCTATATGTGTGTGTGCATGTGTGTGCGTGTGTGTGCCTTATTGTATATTTTTTTATTGTCATCGTTTACAATCGAACGAGGAATAAGACTCGTTGCGTCTCCTCAGACTAACGTTTTCAGTTGACATGAAGTGGAAAGAGTATAGAGATTCTTGATAATATCCAAAGAAGAATCTGCAATGTTATTGGTCCTGACTTCACATCTCGGCTTCAATTCCTTTTCCACCTCGGTAAAATAGCTTCCCTGTGTCTTTTCTATAAATACTTTCATGGTAATTATTCTGATGAACTTTCCTCTAGGCGTTATTATTTTTATTCCTCAACCCCATAGACAAATTGTACATAATGGAACTAGTTAGGACTTCATAGAGATTTTGAAGCATTATGATGGCTGTAGGAAGAATGGTATATAAGAATGTGTTTTTTGGTGTAAGGAATACTGTGGTATGTTTGGGTCAATAATCGTGGCTAGCTAAGTTTAAGATAAGACAGGCTGAAGACCAGCCTTCCCCTATCCCTACTTTTGGTCTTCTGACACATTTTTGTAGATTCAAAATAAATATTACTTTTCTCTTTGGTACCTAGACTTTACGAATTTAAGTGCAGTACTAGACTAGCATTCATGTCTCAATTTACAGTTGAAATGGCTCGATGTAACCGCAAGTTCTATGCTAACAGTTTCTTTTATCGCACATCTCTCGTCCGGCTTCTTGCTTCCTAGTCAAAATTGATCTTCAAAAATTTAAATGCAATGTCAATCGCTATCTTCTTAATTTTTTGTTCTTTTATTGTCCTTTCTCCTTAGTAGTTGTTTTTCTCAGATTCTCTCACACTCAGCAACCTCTTGCGTTCTAGAGGCTTTATTGCCTTGCTTGGGGTGAATAGAGTTCTTTTTAAAATACGAAAGCTTACTGCCACTTTCAAAAAGTTCGTTTCTCTGTAGTTAATATACTCCAAACGCAGCCATGCATACATTTTGCACGTCTCCACACAGAATAATGGTTACCAATTACTGACCTTTACTAATGAGCAATGAGTCCGATCTTCAGTGGGTACTCCATACGTGACCTTGTGCCAAACCAGGCTAACTTTAGTAAACAACAATGAATGCATTTTACTTAAAATATTATTCACCCTATACAAGGCCCGAAAAGACGAAGAGAGTTATAGAGTAAAAGGCACAGTACATGGGATATTTTTTTTTTAATCAGTTCGCCCCGAGCAACGCCACCAAGGCGCAATTGGTCACTGAGAGAGAAAGAGAATGAAAAGACTAACAGGAACCGGAAACCCGATCCTGAACAGGGGAAAACGATAAACTACTACTCTTGTTCAATAGACCGTGGAGGCATGGACGATAGGTGAACCGATCTAATCCAACTGATGAGAGAGGAAAAAAATAGTGCCGTATATTCTAGCGTACAAGGCGACCCTCAAAGTTTTAAGTCAAATTGTAGGTTTCGAGGAATGTTCGCCGTACAAGACGACCCCCAAATCATATTTTAAAATGTTTTGTATTGAATTTATTAAATACACACAGTAAGCATATAGTTTCTTTTCACTCAAATTCTAATGAAAAAATGGTGGAAAGATATTGTCATTTAACTACCACAATCTACAGGGCGGTCCGAAAGTCTTGTCACCCCCATACATAATACAATTTTCTATTTCAACGCTATGTGGAGTATTATCAAGGAGTGAGTTTTACATGAACGATACCAGAATACCCATCAGTTGAAGGACGCCGTTCGGAGGGCCTTTGCAGCAATCAATTACAGCTTGGTAAAATATCACTCAGGACATGGAGCCGCATCATTTTGTGCCACGAAAATGATTGTGTTCATACAGACCTTCTCGATGTGTGACAGCATCAATGAATGTGAATAAATTGAATCCAGTACATGTCCTTTGTATTACTGTATTATTGGTTCTATTGTTTTTATTTTATTTATTTATCTATTTATTTTTATTTTTATTTATTTTATTTATTTATTTTTTTGGGTGGGTAGAAGAAGGTGACCAAATTTTCAGACCACTCTGTACAGTACCACATAAGAAGGTGCTGTGTTTTCAGTAGGCTATTTTACGGTAGCCTGAATTACTTTTCCCAGCTAACCATCCCCATTCGTTCCACAGTTGTCGAATGCGATCTTTAAACAGCTTGTTGAGACACACATTCAGTTGTGTTTTTGTTCAACATCATGGAAAAAGGAAGCGAGATATTCTCAATTGACTACCACGATCTACAGTGTGTGACGATGGTTTTGGATTTCG